TTATTATTATTATTATTATCATCATTATTATAATTATTATTTACTCTTACAGTTACGTGATGCGTTTCTGGTCTCAAATTGTAGCTTTTTACTTCTTACAGTTTATAAATGTGTGAATTTCTGTCATGATGCTTATTTTCCATAACACTGAATGTTGTAACAAAGGAAATAAACGGTTGTTATTATTATTAAGTCTCTTTCCGGCTCAGACTGCATTGGTTAAAGCGTATGGGGCTGTCACGTGATGAACGAACGACTCAAACCTGAAGACTTGTCAGATAAGAGGTGAGGTGAGCTAATCATAGACTGAAGACTCAGGTAAACAATGAATTAATCTTTTCTGTTTCTTATTGCAGTTTTGTATTGTTTGTAGTGTGATCAATGTTTGAGTTAGTAGATGTGTTAGGGAAGTAACACGTAACATTTTAATTGTATTTTGCTAAAATGAACGAAATGACTCGAAAAAAGATTCGTTCATTTTGCTGAACGAGACTCAAAGGTCCGAGTCTGTAAAATGATCCGAACTCCCCATCACTAGTTTACTGTATGTTTACACGGTGTTTTAAATCATGGCGGGTGAGGGCGTTTTCATGCGCGTTTGGCCAATCAATGTCTACTTACGTAACGATTAGTACCAGTTGTGCTGGTTAGACCCTGCTCCGGAGTAGGAGCTAATTTGGTTCTCGAAAAAGGCAGTCCGGTACTAAAATCGAAAACGCCAAAAAGTGGGTAGTTCCACAATTAGTTCTGGTAGCCTACTATGAAAAGGTTCCCGCGGTGCGAAAGGCCCTATTATTGTTCTTTAAAAAAACACACAGTCTGTGTGAATGGCCTCTCAAACTGCTCAAAAATAAAGTGTTTAGAAACTTGTGTCTTAATAGATTTTTAATAGATTAAAAATCTATTATTTCATTTCGGTTTTGAGTTCACAGAGGATGCAAAGTGCAGAGAATTTAATGTAAAATGCAATTATAAGCACAAAATGTGGATGTAAAGTGGAGTTTACCTAGCTTATGGTCACTTGCCAGCATTTAAAAGTTAAAGCTGTCATTGATTTTCGCTGTGGCTTTAAATACTTAAACAGCAACCACCTCATTGCTGAGAAATATAATGTAGTTTTTCAGTAGCGAAGCTATTTTATTGATAGAAGTCATGGAGCAGATTTGACAAGATTGATCAGTCGCAACATTCTGAGGTATGTTATTCCCGATAACAACGCACTCATGTGTTTCACATGTGTCATATCACACCGCCGCGCTCTCGCCCGTTTCATTCAACCTGCTATCACCTTGTCATCTTCATCTTGACTGTATTTACTCTAAAACGAAACCGGAGAACTTCACTCATAATAGTAGGCTTGCGGTAGTATTGTTAAAAGTGTTCATCTTGTTGCTAATTGTTTTGTACACTGTAATAGATTTAAGATAATGAACAGGTAAGATTTGAAAATGCTTTCTTCTCAAATAACATTTCATGTCCTTGTCTTTATTTATGTGGTGAAAAGCTGTGCAAATAGTGAAACGACTATATGTGTTATGCCTTAAATATCTTGTCTGAACGTCGTCTAGGTACAGAGCAGTTTTTTAGGAACTGTTTTTCTTTGCGGAAGCTTTGCGCTTAACAAGCTAATAAAATATATTGCTTTACATCAATATTTTGGGTACAATTATTTACTTATGTGGGAAGTAGCCGTGTAATAAGAAGTTTATTCTGCGATAACAACCGGCTGGATGTACATTATCCCTTACTTAGTCAATCAGAACTAAGTATTCAGATAGATTACAGTATAGTCATATGTTAATTTTGTTTCTCCTGATTTTCTCTAGTTTATTTTTTCTTTTTTTCCTCACAGAAAAGACCTACATATAACTTCATTTGTGTTTCAGGTGTGTCTGCTGTAGAGACAAATGAAGTGAAGATGAACTCAGTGAAGGAGGGAGAATATATCACATTAGATACTGGTCTAATAATAGACAAAAAGGATTTAATGATGTGGTATTTTAATGGATTTCGCCTTGCTTATATCACTGGAGGTCCAGAAATCTGGAAATCTCCTCAGAGATTCAGTGACAGACTGCAGCTGGATCACCAAACTGGATCTCTCAACATCACAAACATTAAAACCACAGACTCTGGACTCTATAAACTAGAGATCACCAACAGCAGCAGCACCAACACTTTGTTGAGCATCAGCTGCAGCAGAGTCAAGAGATTTCATGTTACAGTCAGTGGTGAGTGTCATTTAGTCATTCAGTAATGTTCAAAAACTGTTAAATTGAGCTAATGAATGTTTTCATTGTAGATTTTTTTTAAGTTTCTCATGCTCATCACGGCTGCATTTATTTGATCAAAATTACAGAAAAAGTTAATATTGTAAAATATTACAATTTAAAATAAGGATTTTAATATACTTTAAAATATTATTTCTTCCTCTGATGACAAAGCTGAATTTTCAGCATCATTACTCCAGTCTTCAGTGTCACATGATCCTTCAGAAATCATTCTAATATGCTGATTTATTATTAATGTTGAAAACGGTTTCAGTTGCTACTTAATATTATTTGGAACCTGTGATACTTTTTTTTCAGGATTCTTTGATGAATAAAAAGATCAGCATTTATTTAAAATAAAAATATTTTGTAACAATATACATGGTAACACTTTATATTAGGGAACACATGTTCACTATTAACTATGACTTTTCCCTCAATAATGCTTATTAATAGTTAGTAGGTAGTTGTTAAGTTTAGGCATGGAGCAGGTTTAAGGGATCTAAAATATGGTAATGCAGAATAAGGCATTAATATGTGGTTTATAAATACTAATAAACAGCCAATATGCTAGTAATATGCATGCTAATAAGCAACTAGTTAATAGCGAGAGTAGGTACTTAAAATAAAGTGTTACCATATACCAGAGATGGGCACTCGAGTTAGTGACTCGGACTCGAGTCGCATTTTTATAGACTTCAGGCTTGACTTCAGACTAGACCGGAAATGACTCCAGACTTGACTCGACTCAAGGAAAAGGACTCGTGAATATTTTAAAAGCAACTCGAGTCTTTTATCCTTAAATACTTACACTGAACAAAATTATAAATGCAACACTTTTGTTTTTGCCCCCATTTTTCATGAGCTGAACTCAAAGATCTAAGACTTTTTCTAAGAACATGTTGCGTTTATAATTTTGTTCAGTGTAGGCTATATAACTGATATTCAAAAGCACCCTGGCATCCATCCGGACGGCGAACCGTAACACAGCACCATTTTAAGTGAACAGCGCGTCAAAACAGCGCAGCAGATCACCTAACATGCGCTCAGGGTCGTTTATGGTAAATATCTTTCAGCGCTGTATCCTCTAGTATTTTCATCAAAAGCCAAACACGCTTCATTCGAGCCCTTTCAGCTCCAAGTTTAAAAGCTGCGGCGGATGACGCGGTTATTTTAACAACAACAAAACACAGCAGAAAACAACAATGCTGCAAATATAGTTATTTTTCATACTATCTATTTATCTATCTATAACCTGACTCTGACTCTAATGACTGACTGTTCAAACCAGATGTGACGAGACGTTTCTGATCTATATTTAGCATTATTCATCTGTAGGCTAAGAACATTTCAAAAGAATCATGTAATTATAATTGGGAAAATTGTTGTTACATGGCTAGGATAGAGCTTAAACTTTGAAATTGCTAGTTATCTTTCTTTTCTGATCAAGATGAGAACGTTTTGATTATTGTAGCTTCATTGTTTTTAGGTAATGCTTTTAAGTAGGCTAAAATATTAAAAATAGTATAGATTTCAGGAGGAAAACCCTGAACAGAAACAGTATTTTTCTGTCACATGGCCTCGCATATATCTAAATGTAAAAATGCAATACATGTAAAAAAAATAAAAAAATTTATTTTTGTATTTTTTTGTTCGGACCTCTGCTTGGAAGAAAATATAGAGGCCGCGCCTCTTGGAAATGTAATTGAATACCCCTGACTTATATAATAAAGAAATACTTTATTTGTATGGTTTTGTAATATCTGTGTCACATATTTCCTTGTGACTCTTATTATAGAATTTCATTACAGAAAAACTGTTTTGAACATGGTAATAGATTAAAACATAGCCTATAAATAACAGGCTGGATGTACAATAACCTTACATCTTAACACCTCTTTTTTTTTTTTTACAAAGCAAATCATAGAATATATATTTTGTCTATAGCCTATAAAACAGCTTTGTAAATAGGAAGATTTCAATACATGAGGATTCTGAATGGGATTTTTTTAGTGAGCCATTAAATGACTTGAGACTCGACTCGGACTCGTGACCAAAGACTCGAGACTTGACTCAGACTCCAAGTTAAAGACTTCAGACTTGTGAACATCTCTGCCATACACTACTGTTCAAAGTTTGGGGTCAGTATTTATTTTTTCTTCAAAAGAAATAAATAATTTTATTTAGCAAGGATGTGTTAAATTATTGTTAGACTTAAATTGTTAGAAAATATTTTTATTTGAAAAAAAAATATATATATTTAAAACTTTTTATTAATCAAAGAATCCTGAAAAAAGTATCACAGATTCCCAAAATATTAAGCAGCAGAACTGTTTCCAACATTGATAATAAATCAGCATATTAGAATGATAAAAAGACAGAGTGTAAAGATGCACAGAGTCTTTGAGTTTATTCAAGAAACTAACCAATACTCAGACAAAAAGACAAAATAATCCACAAAAAGAGAATGACATGAATTTTGTTAAACAAAACAAAGAATTTCTGTAGCACATCTCGCTTGAACAAGAATGAGTGAATTGCATAATATTAACATTAAAAATTAAATAAGTTACTTGTATTTGCAAACACTCAATCTCCTGCTGCACACAAATTATGTTTGGCCCTTATCTTTAATGATTCACCAGAAGGCACCATTTATCTTAAAACTGATAACCTAAGTGGAAAGGTGTTAATATCATTCAAAATGGTAAAACTGATAATTTGTTTATCTCTAGATAGACTAACGTTTGTCTGTCTTTAGGTGTTTCAGATTCAGGTCTGCCTTCAGCTGCTGTAGTAGCTGTGCTGCTGTTGTTCTGCTGCTGGCTGCAGTTGCTCTAATTTACCGTCAACGAAGAACCTATGGACAAGTAACTTAAAATGGCAAGTATTACATACAGCTGATATAACAAAGAGAATATGAGATTTGCGTTTTTTTTTATTATTTGAAAATGTTTCCGTAGTCAAAACATTTTCTGATTACAAAGGGAATTTGTGTTTGATTTTTTTTAGTATTACATACAGCTGATATAACAAAGAGAATATGAGATTGCGGTTTTTTTAATTATTTGAAAATGTTTCCGTAGTCAAAACATTTTCTGATTACAAAGGGAATTTGTGTTTGATTTTTTTTTCTCTCTCCTTTGAGATGTCCAGGTAACCATTAAAACAAACACAAGCCAACTTCACAAATAAACTAAATAAAACTATAAAATCAACTGCAGCAATAGAGATCATGTATGAGTTCCAATACTAAAATCAGGTGTTTCAGAACATTTTAAATTTGTTTAAAAAAGAAATCATATGAAATTATTTAGCTTTTTTTTTTTTATTCACTTATCCAACTAATGTTTATGATTGATAAACAACTTGATGCATTAATAATCCAATTTTAGAGGTCAAAGTTGAATAAATCTGATTAAATCACAAATATTCAGTGATTTCAAACTCTGAATTTCTCATCCAATATGAAAGATTTCAAACAGATTTTATTCAGTGACTGTTGGCGATTGTGTCTCTTGTTTTCTGAACTCTTGTATTTGTGTAACATGCTGTTCATTTCTTTCACCTTCTGTGCATCTGTTTTCTTCCAGGTGAATCATGACTGGGATAAGTCTAATAATCAGAGCTAGTTGATGGAGGCCAGTGGGGAGGAGAGGAATGAAAGAGGATCGGGACATTTCACAAGCTGAAACAGACACTCTGTTGAATATTGGTCTGTTCATCATACAAAGTGATCAGATTGCATGGACTATTTTTGGGATACTTGAAATGTTTGGATGCCACTGACTGTCAGTGATGATGACAGAAAATCCTCACGAGCATATGAAACTAGCTACAACAGTTATGACACTGTTCTTTAATATTTGTAGATGATTCAGAAAGGTAAATGTTCAGTGTTCAAAAGTTATATTTGTAAAGTAAATGTGAAAAAATCAAGCTTTTAAGAAAAGCCATTTTTATACTGTCAGATGCTCAGGCTCTTCACAATCTTTTTAATTTTTCTAACAGTTTTAATAATTAAACTATGTCTTAATATTGTATATAATATAGTATATAAGCATTTTTCCACAACGGCAAAATTGCGTTGTAAAGGATGTTTATTATGTGCCAAGGACCTTAATTTACACACCAGACTTTTTCCTTACATTTTCTGTGTTCTTGTACGATTTCTTTGTCAGCCATGGAGAGAAAAAAAGTGCCACAAGGTCAAGCAGTGTTTTTGGAAATGCTTTGTATGTTCATGCAATAAGTAGATATAGAAAATAGATCATTTGCACACATAACAGACATAATTTGTTTGTTTGTTATTAGAAATGATTTTTGTTAAGTGTCTCTTAGCATTGATATTAATTTTTCACATTCTGGAATGTGACTTGAATGGGGGAATAATGAATGCTATGAAAATATTGAATACAACAATAGCCACCAAAGTAGAAAGAAACAACCATATAGTGCTGCTCACTCTCTGTTGTCATTACTATTCTGTGTTTTTATTCTTTTTTTTTTTTTTTGGTCCTAAATAAAGTGGAGTTAATAATGTTGAGAAGAGGTTCTGTGCTTTTGTGTTCATGGGTTCAGAGGAATCCTAATAAAAAAATTAAAAGCAGCCATACATTTGTGTTTAAATTTTTTTATTTTATTTTTTTATTTTATTTTGTTGTATTCACTGCCATTTCACAGCTACAAGATTAGTAATTGAAAATTACCCCATGATTTACTCCCACTCAAGCCAGTAGGGCTGCACGATTAATCGAAATTAAATCGCACAGGCGATAAATTAGGCAGAAGCTGCGATTGTCATGCGTTTCCCTTTCATGGGAACTTCGAACTGCGTCCTCTAGGGGTCGCTATGGGGAACGCCTCGTCGTGACCCGTGTCTGAAGCATACACAAGTGAATGATGTGTAGCTCCCGGCACCTATTTATACTATAGTCGCACCGGTAGTGACGTCATGGCTGTCGCCCGCCAACGAGTTGGTGTTTTTTCAGTGTATGCTTCAGACACGGGTCACGACGAGGCGTTCCCCATAGCGACCCCTAGAGGACGCAGTGTCTCGTTCCCTACTCAGGGAACCATGGTTACATAAGTAACCTGAGACGATCTTTCAGTGAACGTCTCAGGTTACACATGTGTAACGAGATGCTGCGTCCCCTAGGGGGCGCTATGAAGCTTGAATGTAAAAACGACAATGAACTTGACATTGGCAGGCGGCAGCCTATGACTTATTTAATAGAGCGGCTGCGGGTATAAAAGGGCACCTGAAGAATACGTCATTTACTTATTTGTCTGAAGGAGACGCAGGCAGGAATGTCCGAAGCATGGCAAAGAGACGCAGAAGAACGTGAGAACGATCAAAGCGATGCAAATATGCGCACGTGTTCGTTCGTTCGACTTGAAGCTGTGCACCGATCCTTGTATGACACCAAAGTACCGCGAGAGCGATTTGAAAGCATAAAAAAAATTTGAAAGTGTCAAAAAGCACCTGATGGAGTTTGAACTTGACATCAAACTGAAGAGTTTGGTTCCAAAACGCGATAAACGCCATTTTGTAAAATATTGAGTTTCCGCCAAAATCAGTTGTATCTAGTAGGTATTGAAAAGTACATTTTTAATTTTACGCAAAATGCGATATCCGCCGTGTTATTCTGTCATGTTTTCTCCCTTTCTTTCCAAACCTTGACAAACGCCAGTCTCCCTTCTCTGCAGAATGCGATACATCTGCTCAACCAATCACAGTGCACCATTCCACGCATTGTAGACAATAATGGCGGCACTTTGAATACACCCGGCCTCCTAGTTTTCCTCATCTACTTTGTACTTTGTGATCAACAAACAAAAAAAAAATTAGGGCTGCACGATAAATCGCATGTGATTGCCATGCGCATTTCGTCAGTAAAGCCGGTTCTGTGATCAGTAGCCTAGTAAATCTCCATCACGTGCTTTCAGATGGAGCAGCATTTAACACACAGAGCCGTAGATAACTGACAAGCTATGCAATATCGCGTTCATAATTGCAGATGAATCGCATTCGACTATGAACGCGATATTGCGTAGCTTGTCAGTGTAAGAGTTTTTATTAATGCCATTAATGTTTTTGTTAATACAGCGTATAGCACTAGTCAACTAAATGAATGTAACATGGCAAAGATGAATGCACTTTTGGAAGTTGAATGTAAGGGAAATGTAATTTTGGAATTTCTGTGGTCTAATGTGATGTTGTTCATGTTCTTTCATTCATTCTGTCACGTGTTGCTACGGTGCGGGAACATGGAGCGAGGAGACCTGGGGGGTATTCCAAAAAGCAGGATATGTGTTATACCCGGGTATGTTTGAGGATAAGCGAGCGGATCACCTCAGCTTTCGGTTCCAAAATCGGAGGTTACTTTCAGGGTATGTAACGGAGCCTTCAGTGGGCGTGACAGATAGCGCACAACATTATATAATGTTACAATATGTAATATAGCCTATATATATATATATATATATATATATATATATATATATATCGCTCTGTTGAGAATGTCTTGAGCCTTAACCAGGAACATACTCTGAGTTGAATGAACTTACTCCCGGACGCGTTTTTGGAACCACATACCTTGAGTAAGCAAGGTTCGGGGTTAATCAACCGAAAGTTCAGGGTTTAGCTGACGGTAAGTTAACCATGCTTTCTGGAATACACCCATGTTTCTGGGGCTGGAGCCAACACTGGAACAAGCTCTGGGGCTGGAGCCGACACTGGAGCGAGCTCTGGGGCTGGAGCTGACACTGGAGCTAGCTCCGGGGCTGGAGCCGACACTGGAGCGCACTTATGAGGAGCAGGCACTGGAGGGCGTTCTGGAAGGCGCTTACGAGGAGCAGGCACTGGGGCCTCATGAATGCTTGGCGGGCTTGCTATATTAATATTCGTTAGGCTTGCCATATTAAAGGGGTCATATGATGCTATTTTAAAGATCATTATTTTGTGTATTTGGTGTAACAGAATATGTTGACATGC